TCGGGTTTGCCTCAAGATAGAGAGGTAGAATTTCATATTGAAGTAATGCCGGGAACTACACCTATTGCCATGTCACTATACAGAATGGCCCCAAAAGAGTTACAAGAATTAAAGATCTAATTATAAGAATTACTGGAAAGGGTTTATCAGACCGAGTGTCTCACCATGGGGAGCTCCAGTTTTGTTCGTCAAAAAAAAAGATGGATCCATGCGTATTTGCATTGATTATAGGCAACTCAATAAAGTGACCATCAAGAATAAGTATCCCCTTCCCAGAATTGATGATTTGTTTGATCAGTTAAAGGGAGCTTCAGTGTTTTCGAAGATTGATTTACGTTCTGGGTACCATCAATTGAAGATTCAAGATAAAGATATTCCAAAGACAACATTCAGAACGAGATATGATCACTATGAGTTTATCGTAATGTCGTTTGGAGTTACAAATGCTCCATCTGCTTTCATGGATCTTATGAATCGAATATTTCAACCCTATTTGGATCGATTCATTGCAGTATTCATTGACGATATTTTAGTGTATTCGAAGTCGGAAGAAGAGCATAGTTCGCATTTGAAGATCGTTCTACAGACTTTGAGAGAAAAGAAGCTTTATGTCAAACTCTCCAAATGTGAATTCTGGTTAAAGGAAATGACATTTCTTGGACATGTAATTTCTGTAGAAGGGATTCGAGTAGATCCTCAAAAGATTAAAGGTATTTTAGAGTGAGAAATTCCAAAGAATGTGTCAGAAGTTCAGAGTTTTCTAGGGTTAGTTGGCTATTATCGAAGGTTCGTTAAAAACTTTTCGATAATAACATTACCCCTAACCAAGTTATTGAGGAAAGAGGTAAAATTTGCTTGGACTCCGGAGTACCAAGAGAGTTTTGAAAAGTTAAAGAAGATTTTGACAGAAGCTCCAGCCTAAGTTCAACCCGAGTTTGACAAGAACTTTGTAGTGTACAGTGATGCGTCTCATAATGCAAGAAGGCAAAGTGGTCTATGCTTCGAGGCAATTAAAACCACATGAGAAGAATTATCCAACACATGATCTGGAGATGACGACAGTAGTGTTCTCTCTTAAGATCTGACGTCACTATTTGTATGGTGAGCGATGCTACTTGTATACGGATCATAAGAGTTTGAAATATTTGATGACTCAGAAGAAGTTAAATTTAAGACAACGAAGATGGGTGAAATTCTTAAAGGATTATGATGTAGTGATTGATTTTCATCCGGGGAAAGCGAATGTGGTAGCGGATGCCTTAAGTCGAAAGATGTTTGCAGCCTTAAGAGCTTTGGATGCCAGACTATCATTAAGAGGAGACGGTGCCATATGTGCAGAATTGACTCTCAAGCCATTATGGCTAGATCAAATTAAAGAATTGCAAGCTAGAGATGAAAAGTGTTTAAAGAAGTTATAATAGATAAGGAATGGAGAGGCTACGGATTATGAAATGAAAGCTGATTGGAACCTATATTATCAAGGGAGGCTGGTGATTCCAAATGATGATGAGTTGAAGAAAGATTTGTTAACGGAAGCTCATTGTAGTCCATTGACTATGCATCCGGGAGGAAATAAAATGTATATGGATCTCAAGAGTCGATATTGGTGGTCGGGAATGAAGAGAGACGTTACGGAATTCGTATCCAAATGTTTGGTGTGTCAGCAAGTCAAAGTTGAACATCAGGTTCCGTCCAGACTGTTACAACCTATGTCTATTCCTCAGTGAAAATGGGAGAATGTAACAATCGATTTTTTAACGGGGTTACCTTTGACCCCGAATAAAAGAGATTCCATTTGGGTGAATGTAGACAGATTGACTAAGTCATTTTATTCCTGTACGAGTTGACTTTTCCATGGATAAGTATGTTGAATTGTATATCAGGGAGGTTATACATCTACATGGTGTACCTGTTTCTATTGTTTCAGATCAAGATCCTACATTGATGTCACGGTTTTGGAAATCATTACATAAAGCGTTGGGAGCTCGGTTGAATTATAGTACATCGTTTTATCCATAAACCGATGGGTAATCCGAGAGAACAATCCAAATTTTGGAGGATATATTGAGAGCTTGTGTTATCGAGTTTAAAGGTTCATGGGAAAGGTACTTGCCTCTTGCAGAATTCGCGTACAACAATAGTTATCAATCAAGCATCAAAATGGCACCTTATTAAGCTCTTTATGGAAGAAGATGTCGTACACCTCTAAATTAGTTCGAGCTTAAAGACAAAGAAATTCTTGGTCCGGAGTTGATCCAGGAAGTGGAAGAAAAGGTTCAAGTAATTCAAAGTAATATCAAAGCAGCAGCTGATAGACAGAAATCATACGCGGATCTAAAGAGAAAGGAGATCAAATATCAAATAGGAGATAAAGTGTTTCTCAAAGTGTCTCCTTGGAAGAAGGTTTTGAGATTTGGTCGAAGAGGAAAGTTAAGTCCTCAATTCATTGGACCTTATGAGATTGTAAAGAGAGTTGAACCAGTAGCATATCAATTGACATTACCACCTGAAATGGAAAAGATTCATGATATCTTCCATGTCTCAATGCTTCGGAAGTATAGATCTGATCCCTCCCACATTGTGACTCCAGAAGATATCAAGATTCAACCGGATTTAACATATGAGGAAGAACTAGTTCAAATTTTAGCTCATGAGATTAAACAATTAAGGAACAAGACTATTCCATTAGTCAAAGTATTGTGGAGAAATCACAAAGTAGAGGAAGCAACATGGGAGCGTGAAGAGGATATGAGGAATCAGTACCCCCATCTTTTCGTGTAATGAAAATTTAAGGACGAATTTTCTTTAGGGGGAGATTTGTAACATCCCCAATACCAGGTTAGTGACTAAATTCAGAATTTGATGACTAAAACAGAATAATTGAATAGTATTGTAATTTGGTATAAGGTTCAATTGCAAAGAAGAAAGAATAGAATGATAGAATGGTCTTTTGCAAGGAAAAATAATTAAAGAAGGGATTTATATATTAGCTCTACGAAGAGAAGAAACAAAAACAAGGTTCCAGAGTTCTCTTCTTCTCTTATTTTCTCCTAAACGTGAAGAGGTCAAAACAAATGTGAGATTTTTCATGAGTTAATAGTTTGCTGAAATTTAAGTTTTTTTTTATCCTTAGATGCTAATTAAGCTTAAGGAAAGCTTAATTTGCTTTAAAACAATAAGATGAAAGGTGTAGGAAGAATTAAAGATTAGGAGTTCTTGAATGAAATTTTGAAATAAAGTTCATATTGGAAATCGGAGGTTGAATTTGACTTGTCATCGACTTAATTAAGACATACGAAGTGTTAAAATTAGATTTAGAACATGTTGGAAATTGATAGAGATTCTTAAAATCTATGTGGATGATTGGATTTTTAAGTTTAAGAGGTATTGAATGGGTATTAATTAGTTTAAGTAGGTATATGCGAGTTAAGGATATAAAAAGAGGGGAAATATAAAGTGTTGAGAAGATTATGAAGAGATTTTTGCGCTAAAATAACATTTTTAGACTATGTGCATCGATGCACATTCAATGTGTATCGATGCATCAAGGGTAAAAACCCAGAAATTGTTCAATGCATCAAGTGTATCGATGCACTCCTTTAAAATAAAAACATCGAATGTCATCAGTGTATCGATGCACCCCTTAAAATACAAACATTGAATGGGATTTATGTACCGATGCATAGTTAGTGCATCGATGCACCCGTTAAGGGATGCATCGATACATGGTGTAGTGCATCGATGCATACCTTTATTAAAAGATAAAAATAGCTTTCGTTTTTGCCTAAGGAGTGATAGTTTAGAATATATTAATTAGTATACTGATTAGTATCAATGTATTACTATGTAGATATAGAACGTAATTTTGTTCTGGAACAAACAAAGGATTAGGATCAAGTCAAAATAAGCAAGGCCAAGGTGAGTGCATATCCTAAATGAAATGGAATTGAGATAAAACTTGCGATAAGTCTATCTCTTATCATTGAATTTATGATTCTATATTCATGCACATGAATACATATATAAATGTTAATGTTATAGTGATTCCATGCATTTTTCATTCATGATTAACATGATATTATATGAATGAATGCCATTATCAGAGAATTCTTCCAGGTATGTGAAATAATGAAAATGATCATATGAAGTGACTTATGTGTTTACATGGACAGTGATGAAAGAGATATGAAATGAGAAATGTATTTATAATGAAGCCCATCTTAGTTAATACAAGAGTTGTAGGTATAATTGGCATGCCAAGAGTCGAGGGATTGTCAGTGGTCCTTCGGGACATAGTGGTTCTTTGGAACAATCAGTGGTCCTTCGGGACAAATATTCAGTGCCCCTTGAGGGAATTATACGAGTTGTGGTGACAGCATAGTGCACAACCTCTATGTACTCACATACCTTTGTTCTCAATAATGTACATGGGTAATCCAAAGATAAATTAAACTGAAATTAGCATAAAAAAAGTATGTTTTATATGTGCATGTTATCATCATATATGTTATATTGTAATAAATATATGCAAGTCGAAATGTCATGATCAATGGTAAGAATGCATGTTCATAAATTCATTGTTATACATGTGTATACATATATTTATGTTATGCCTCACTAAGTCTGTAACTTAGCGTGTAAGTGATTTACACGCACGTACCATGAATAGAGAAGAACATAAAATAGGAGTGACAAGAACATCATAACTGCTAGAAGATCAGATCAGAAGTAACTGATAAAGTAGGTATTTTGTTGTGTATAGTGTGTTGGCATGTAAGAAAAGTGTTAGTTACAAATGCTCTGATCAGTTTTGTCTTGTTTTGGTTAACTTGTGTAAAGTAACAATGTTATTTTAATGAAATTTTTAAATTTCCTTGATTTTTCGTCAAGAGTCAAAGTTTGAAAAGTCAATGTGACACCTCATACTCGTATACGGGTCGGGTACGAGTTGAGGGTGTTACAGTTTGCGCCCTCATCATTGGACCAAGCCTACAGCTAGTATGTTTAAGTTGAATGTGGATTATGCCTGCCCAATACCTCATGCTTCCCCGACTGTTGGTATTCTTTTGCGTGATAGTGATGGCTTGGTTGTTGTTATTCGTGCTCTCCCTGTTCCTGATTATCGGGTGGCTAGAGTCGTGGAAGCGATGACAATTTGTCATGGTGATCATATGGTTGTGGAACTAGATTTGTCGACTGTTGTTGTTGAGAGTGACTCGTTGAATATGGTTCGTCAACTGGAGAACTTTACTGATGATCATTTTGTTCTTTGCTTTTACCTTGAGGAAGTTAAACAACTCCTTGATTCTCATCCTCATGTTTCAGTCCGTTTTGTTCGTCGAGAGGCCAATGGTGCAACCCATGCACTTGTCAATTATATTTCTACGACAAATATGTCGTTATATTTTCAGTATAATGTTCCAGAATGTGTTTCTTCTGTAGTTATGTCTGACATTGCTTTTCGTTAAAGTAGATCGTTTATTTTCAAAATAAATAAATAAATAATTTTATGTGTTTTTCTATTAAAAAAAGAATTTGATGTCATATAAATTATAATAGGTGAAAGGGTCATTTTTACTCTTGTAGTAGACCCAAATTATCATTTTCGTTTTAATTTAGTTCTTGAAGTTACTCAATTGTATCATTCTATACTCACTCATCATTTAAAACCCTAAATTAATAGTTTAAAGTTAGAGATTAGAATTTAGGGTTTAGGATTCAAAGATTATATAGTTTGAAGTTAGGGGTAGGATATTAAATGATGCAATTAAACAACTTTGAGTGCTAAATTGATGTGAAAATATGATAGAGATGAAAATGATAAATTGAGTTTACTACAGGGGCAAAAGTGACCCTTAAACCATTATAATAATATATTATCGAGTTGAATAATATTATTTATTAAAATGTTTCAAAATAAATTCGTTTGTTATAAATTTTAATGGTTGCATTAGAGTAGAAAATTTGATTTGATATGAACTTTTTAATATATATAAAATATAATTAGAAGAGATATATATAGTATTTGGATCCTAAACCATATATATATATATATACTTATTTTTATTTGCTTTTAACAGCTTATTCATTAAAAAATTATATATAAAAAAATCAATTTAGTATGTTAATGATCCATGACCATAAACTATTACCAATACCTAAATCCCAAAATAATCGTTCCCATATCACTCCTATGCGAAGTGTACTTGTGGCATCATACACGGAACCATGTCCCCGTAAATTTCCACGTGTAAACTTCGATCATTTTCATTATAATATATACACGTGGGAGCCTATGCAATGTCGATCAGTGTTGTCTATGCTGGCTGGAAAAGGGGCTCACATCAGATGCGAATGATTTATAAACCGTATCGTAGTCAGAAATTCGCCTGCTGCTGTTGATGATGGTTCTTCTGGTGCCCCGCTGTTAACTGGGCATACTCCGCCACGTTCCATACCTTCACCGAATTATCAAGGCTCCCACTGTACACAATCCACCGTGGCTCACTCCCCGATTCATGATCCTTTTCCACGGCCAAGCACTTCACCGGCCCCATATGACCCGTCAGCACGCAGAGGGATGTGTGGATGTTGCCGCCCTTCCGCCAAACACAGATAGTCTTATCAGCTGATCCACTAAAGACCAGATTCTCAGTCGCAGCGAGGCAAAGAACCGCCTGCTTGTGCCCATTAAGGACTCCGCCGTGGGCTAGTTGCTTTTCAACTTCCCAGAAATTGACTACACCGTCACTTGAGCCACAGTACAATACTGAACCCTTGGTGTTGATTACCAACGCCGTAACAGCACAGTCTTGTTTTATAAGAGTTTGGGACAACATATGCTTTGCTCCTTTCCTGTGTTGTTCCCTTTTCCACACTTTCACGGTTCCATCTGCGGAGCCCGTGAAAACCATTTCACTCAAGGTCGAAACCACGGAATTAACAGCGTCGTCGTGTGCCCGAATAGATTCAAGGCATTTGGAATCAGAAATCCTCCAAACTTTGAATGTCCCATCCCATGAAGCAGAGTAAAGTAGACCTTGTTCCCCATTCAAGCTCAAACATGACACCGCATCCGCATGTTTGATCCATAAAGACCTCTTATGCTTCACTTCCACGTAATTGCTTGGTTTAATGGAACTTTTAAGGACATCTTTGAGAGTTGGCAAAGTTCCAGTTCGTTTGTAAATGCTGGGGTCCTTGGGGGAGATTTTCCAAATACGAATCTTCCCATCTTGATGACCAGTAAAAATCTTTTGCTCGTATATCACAATGGCCTTAACCAACCCACTGTTTGATTTAAACCCCGTAAATTCTTTCAAGTTCTTCCACACACGAATGTTCTTACTATCGGAGCCGGTGTAAAGAAGATCCTTTGTGGCTGCCAAGGAATAAATGTGACCCTCTTCACGTGTAAGCGAGCCGATGAGACTGTTAGCCGGAACGTTGCCATTGTCGGAAGGGAGAGCGGAAGGTTTCATGAAAGAAGTGGTTTGGTTCCAGGGTGACATGGCCAAGGGTGAGCCTTCCAGGCTGGTCCTGTGGGATTCAAAAAGAGAAGGGCCGGAAGTTGAAGCGCTGCTATAACGTATGTACAAATCATCTTCACTCCCAGAAGCAGTGATGGACATGTTGGGATCGGAATGCGTAATGTTTCCATACTTGGATCTCGGAAAGCTATCAGGCTCTGCATACATTGTGCCCAATAAGTATAGATACAACAAAGAAGAAAATGTCTGGAAGAGATCTGAAAGGATATTAGTGTTATTAAACAAGTCCAAAGCGACGAGAGGAAATGGAAATGGTTGCATTTGCATCGAGGGCATACATATATTTGCAAGAACGGTACAGCGGATTTGGGGGTATCAGATTTTGGACAAGTGTTTGACCTAGTACATAGACAGAGGGGCATGGTCCACGGAATCCGGGTTCAGTTGCCTCATAGCGACGTTCTTGGTAGTTTTAAGGATTTAACTTGCTAATTCTTATTTCAAATGACGTTTGTTTATTTATTCGTTTAATTGGATAACTTATTTTTTTAATAAAAATTCGGAAATTATTGATAAGGATTTGAGTATAAAATTAGGATTTAACTTATTTCCTGTAAAACAACTTTTTACCTAAAATGACAAAAAAAAAGTTACAAGGAAAAACCAATAAAAAATAAAAGGAAAAAAAACTCACTTGATTTTTTACGGATCCTAACCACCTATGTCATCAACTGACGCCAGACAGAATAGTGATTATCCTAACCGCCTTTGCGCTGATCTGCCAACTCATGGTATCTCAGCGCCATCAACGTGCAATCTGACAGCTCAGCATCATCTGTCTCGGATCCCCCTGCATCATCAAGTGAATTGAACATTTAAGTTGTGATGTCAATTATTTTTTAAGAATGTAAAAAAAAAAAATTGCAACGTAATGGTATTAATATAATGTACATTATTTTGAATATTTTTTATATTAACTTTTATTAAAAAAAGTTAAAAATTCTAAGATATAAAACTGTGAGAAGATTAAGCTTCATGGGGTAACGAATTACAACCCACCAAATACATAATAGATCAACTGATTACAACCCATCAAATATGAAATTGCCCAAAAAGAGATCCATAAGCGTCAAACTCTAAACCCATTAAGGGATCCTTTTAATATAGTTGTATATATTCTTGGGAAAACTAATCGAATGTTATTGAACTTCATGATCTTTAGCAATTATATTATTAAATTTTAAAAATATTTAATATTGACATTGAACTTTAGTTTTGGTTTTAATGTAAGCACTGAATCATTAAATCATTTACGACATGACGGTGCTATCATCTTCTGAACTTTATTTTGTGTATTTATATTGTCACTAAACTTTAAAGTACTTCATTTTTTTACACTACACTTTAGTTATATATAGTTTTAATTAGTAAAACGTCAACTCCTTCAACTGACGTTGTTGGTCTCTTGTCACTTATCATCTGCCCCCTTCGTAGCAAGATCAGTATCGAAATATTCATATTTCACTCCCATTTCTTCTAATTGGATTGATTTTCTATAAAAACCCACTCAAAATTAATAAAACAATTCACCTAAAAGTTCAATGTCTTAATACTCTGATATAATCTAATGTCCTTCTAATGAGGGGTAGTTCTAAGATATATTGTTTGTCTTTTCGAAAATAAGAATTGAGGTTATATAGGTATTCTATAGAGGAATTGAAAAAATCATGTAAAGTTAAAAGGCTAAATTGAAAAAAAAAATGTTTTCAAAAAAATAGAAATTGAAGCTATGTTGGTATTCTACAATGATCTAGGAGCATGTGGTTCAAATTTAATGAAAAATAGACTAAAAATGAAAGGGGAATTGTAGGAATAAGGAAACCATGGACCAAATTATAAAATTACAAAATCACTCGGCTAAACATTCAATTTTCATGTTATCTAAACTTTGCAAATTCAAACTCGACTCGAACTCAAATTTTGAGTTAACTCTAATAACTTAAATAATTAAAAATAAAAAATCAATTTTCTTGTACGAACTAAACGACCTTGGTGATAAAATAATTGTTGTTATTCTTTGAGGTCTCCGGTTTGAGCACTATAAATATCAAGAGTGTGAGCATTCAATATTTTTAAAACCTATTGATAAATATCAATATCTATTTTTATTTATGAAATTTTAATTTGATTAACTTGAAATTGATTAGTTTTAAAATAAGGTAAGAATAAATCATATAATTTTTTTGGTTTCATATAATGTTATAAATAATTAAAATAAAGATAAATTAAAACATTTTACATAAAAACCCATCAAATTATTTAAAAAATTATCAAATTATATTATTATATAATTTCCTTTACAAAAATATTAATATTTTATATTATTACGTAATTTGAAAATTATATAAATAATTAATGATCTTTTATGCAATTGTTCTTTTAACTTATAATTAATTTTAATTTCTAAATGATCGAAATGTTTTAGCTCTTTTGGTTTTCGGGAAACATTATTTCATTCGACCTCTTTGTAGTGAGTACTTCGAGATTGAATTAAAATTCTAATTTCCTTTGATTATTATTTTTATATCATCATTAATGTGTTCAGTTAATTTAGACAGAAATAGAAAGTCTTCAATAATAAATGCTGAATTTTTATATAAAAATAATACAAGGATTAAAAATGAATTTTACTTTTAAATTTTCATGGACTTTTATATTTTAATTTTATGTTTTCGAGATTGTTTGGGAGTTTAGGTCTGTTATATTTGAAATTTTTGTTATTTCAATAAAATCCAATGTTTTCTTAAAAAAAAACCCCAATAATCATGAGCCCGAAATTTCAGGTCTCAGATTTAGAGTTTTCAAACATGTTAAAAAATAATGAAAGAAAATCAAGCAGGATCTGTTTAATTAATAATGACAAGTTGGAGGGGGGGGGGAAGTCAAGCAGGCTGCAGGAGACCCTGAAGAACACTTCAACCGCAATAATCATCCTCTTTATGTACTTATATATTATAAAATGGAATCAAAGCAAAACACAGCGGCTTAATTCAATTGAAAATCCTAAAATAGACCGCACGCATCTTCTGGACCCAATTCCGCTGCTTTCATGCTTGTGACCTACGGTCTCGTTTTCTAGATCGGCTTGCAAACATAGCTTAGGCCTTAGATTATACACACACACACACACACAAATTTAATATACTATCACTATGAGATCAATAAACATATGCAAAGATTATTCAATTATTAACTTCATTAATTCCTGCTGTAATTCCTGACTAATTGAGATAAACTAATGACTTATTACCTGGCTAACATAGGCATAATTGGTGAATCTTGCTCTAGACTCTAGATTTCTCAGTTTATTAGTTTATTGTAGTAGTTTATTAGTTTTTGTCGTATGATAAATATTTTATTTTGTTAGTTTTTTTAAAATATATGAAAATTTAGAAAATTATTAATTTTTTGAAAATTATATTTTAACATTTTAATTTTTTATGGATATTTTATTGGTTTTTTAAATTCCCACGTGATAATATCTTATCATGCCATGTGAAACCTTTTAGTCACGTTCTGTTATGTTAATAAAGATAGATAATAATTGTAACAAAAAAATACTAATTGTAACTTTTTACAATTTTTTTAATAAAAAACTTTTTTATAATTTTAGGAGATAATTTAATAAAAGTGCTTCAAAGAATAAAAATAAAATAATAAATAAACTTTAAATATGATACGTACATTTAACCCATAAATAAACTATAAAACTTGGGTTTGAGGTCTTCTTTCTCAATAAAAAACCTAAGGAGCAGCCATGGTCCAAAATGGATGGATATTAGGAAATTTTTGCAAAAGATTATTAAAGAGCCGAAAAAAGATGCATTGATTTGCCGTGTGTGGCACTGCACCCTAAGGTATGATCAATAAGGATATTGTTATGTTGTTCAAAGGGAATGGTCCCACAAGACCAATCCAACCCAACGACTATACTTAATCCTTAACATCGTTGACAATGGGGAGCATGATCCTGTATTTGGACTTTTGTACACAAAGTCATTTATGACTATCCAGCTCAATTAGTAGAGTATAAGGTTTTTAATCTTGAGGTCATAGAATCGAGTCTTACGGAGGGCATTTCATAATTCGGAGGTATTCTACGGAACTTGCTCTCAACCAGATGTAAGGGGCAGCCTACTATCTTATCTGCCCCTTACCCCATTACATATTACATATGGGAATAAGAGACAACCATTTTTTTATTCCCATGTAAAACTATACTCTAAAACTGCATGACAACCCATTTTCTCATTTGTTTGTGTTTTTCTTTTTTTATAATAACAGGATAAACTACATTAATAATCGTTGAACTTCTAGGGCACTAATATTTAGTCACCAAACTTTTAAAATTTATATTAGAGTCACTAAAACTTATATTATGCTTTCATTTTGATGACTGCCGTTAACGATACTACGTCGGTCGAATTAGCTAGTGACATGTCATTTTATCTAATAAATTAATATTCTGATTAGATGCCGATATTAATAAAATAACATGTGATATGTTAATTTAATAGTCGTTAATGCCGCGTCAACTAACATTAACAACAATGATTAAATGAAAGCATAATAAAAATTTGATGTAACACCCTAATTCGATTTAGTCAAAAGTTGGACTGAAGATATAATATTTGTTTGTCAGAGCTTGGTGACTAAAGTATAAACATCCTAAAAATACAGTGACTATTAGTATAGTTTATCAAAAAAAGATATCAATGAAATATTTAATTGATTATAATATTATACCATATATATCACCAGCTATAATTTATCTACAACGTCAAAGGGGCCCAAAAAGAAAAAAGAACGTCTCTAGGTCTCATTCTCCAGCCTCCAGCCAATTCAAGGGATTAGAACTAGGATAATAAATACAATATTCGTTAATCACTGTTGCAATTGTTTCTTTTGCAGTCAAAACTGTTGATCACTGCTGAAAAATTATCACACCGACTTTCAATCTCACAAGAAACTACATTAAATTCCTTGTATTATTCAATCAAGCAATTCTTTCGAGGGTGAGTTCGTGACACCAGACAGAAGAAAAAAAAGAGGGAAATTCGTTTGTTTTTCAATTAAAATCTGTTTGATGGAAACAGTCTTAAACATAAATTCTTTCTTTTCGGATTACAAGTTTGTTATCTGCAAAAACATGATTGTCAAAGAGCCCATCCTTTTGTTCATAGCAATCTGTCTGCTTTCATCAATCATCACAGCTCGATCATCCAAGTACTGTGATCGATCATGTGGTAACAAGTTTGTCCCTTTCCCATTTGGATTCTCTGCCGACTGTCAAATCCCTCTAAATTGCAGCTCAAGTAACCAGCAGTTGATTGGCGGTTTTCCGATCTTTACAATAAACGCTGATCGTATGAAGATAAGTATTGAAGCCACTTGCGACCGTCCACTTGAAGCACTCCATCGTCTCTATGGCCCCGGCTATGCCCCATCATCCCGGAACGCAATTCTGTTGCAAAACTGCAGCTTGCCGAAGCCATGCATGATTCCGACAACGACCGTTTACACTCATTTTGAGGCCATCGGTTGCTCTTCTAATGACAGCAGTATAAGTTGCTATTCAGAGAACAAAACTACTGGTTTCCTTGATTACGATAAGGTGACTCGAACAAATTGCAAGTCCTTTCTTTCGTCCATATCAGCTGAATCTTTCGATGAATCTGGTGTCCTGGAGGTCCAGATGGTTGAGCTAGGGTGGTGGCTTCAAGGACGGTGCCCGGACTATTGTTCTGAAAATGCCTTCTGTGATGAAATTGTTCCTCCATTCAATGGACAGCCGGGATTCCGTTGCAGGTGCAAAAACGGGTTCATCGGCGATGGATATCGTGCAGGCCATGGTTGCCGGAAAGGTCAGTTCTTTCTTTCATCCCGAATTACTTTGAAACTTTTACTTTAAAATTATTATCCAGCTTGATTTTATTTATTTATTTATTTATTTTGGTGCTGCATTCAAACTTTGCATTAAAAAACCACACCTTTGTTAATGCCAAAATAGAAGTCTTTCGGCAAACAATAAGAATAAATAATCAGATGATATACTTCAGCAGTTTTTTCAACTTTTACAAATATTTTAAAGTGCTTAACGTTGTTGCAAAGCGAAGCTCAAAAGCAGAAGAGCTGGCTAGAAGTAATAGGTACGATTTTATGTTAGAAGTCGAACTTATAAAATTTTAGAAGTAAAAATGAATTATCAATAAAAAAATATAAATGATATATTTAAAATATATATTAATTTAAAAATTTTATATGCAATCGTCTCCGACTACCTCCTGGGGCCATCACCGGTGGATTCACGTCAACACTTATGATGGCAAAGCATTGTCAACTTAGGAAACAATAGTTCAATGCAAAGGCTTAGCAGGAATCAAAATTTCCAGCCAGAAGGTGGTTTTGCTTAATGTTATGGGCCAGTCATCATTTTGTTGAAGGAGGAAGGGCTAGTCCCAAAACCTTACCATTTAGTATTTCGAAAGGAACCAGTTTTCTTTCCTCATATATACGCGTGCAGCGAGATAAATCGATCTTTCCTGATCTTCTTATATCCGATGAAAACCACAGGTTGTGGTAGTAAGAGGTTAACGATTTACCTGAAACGGGTAGTTACACCTAACGCCATTGAGGGACCCCGTGGTAAACTTTTTAGTTATTGCATCAAACCCCACTGTGTCAGACCCTTTGACATATCGGGGAAGCTATAAAAGATACAACAATCAAATCATATTAGTAAAAAGCTAATTATCGTATATATAATTCTTGTACAAGCCAGGAAAAAGATAGTCAGATGGAGAAAGCAACAGCCCTGGAATCCAATGGTATTAGGTGGCTCCAGGCTTTTGATTGTGCCAAGGTTAGAGCTTATCTCTTTCCGGTGAAAAGGAAGACATTAAGCATTATACCCCAACAATGGTCGATTTCATACATTGAGAATAGGTAAAATTGGTAAGCAGGTATGATTAATTAGATGCATTAGTGGAGAAAGAAAAAATATTGATGGATTAATAGTAACTAACGTAGATGATTTTATTAAACCAAGCTGCTTCGGTTGATTTTGCAAAATACTATGGCCGGTGTTGGAGTTAACTACTAATCAAGATGCTTCTGTTGCTACTGACAGAATCGGCAAGGGTCGTTTAGATGAGCTCATAGACCCATTCCTAGAGCCAAATAGTGATTCTTGGACGTTATCTTCAATCCACAAGGTTGCAGAGCTGGCTTTTAGATGCTTATCATTCCAGAGGGACATGAGACCAACAATGATGGAAGTAGCACTGGAATTGGAACAAATCAGACTAAGTAGATGTGCTCCTGCAGAAGAAATCACTTGTGCAACTTCATCAGAAGTGTCTCCTTGCTCCTCCTCATCCAATATAAGTGAGCAACCACTTAGCATGGCGGTAAATAACAAGGATAGACCGGAAAATAAAGAGCTATTCATGCTTGAGATGACCAACGTTGGTTGTATGAACTTGATCGAAAAATTGAAGGATAATTCTCCAGTATCAACCAAGGACTCATGGTTGAGTGAACAAAGCTCACCTTCATCGAGCAGTTTGCTGAACAGTGTAAACCATTAACCATAAGTCACTCTTTCTTTGGATTTCAACTTCAGCTTAAGCCAGTTAATACTTATTTCCATCAATGCAGTAGTACCAAAGTTTTGTCGCTCTGCATTGTTTGTAGGAGCCCCTAGTGTATGTATATGCCTGTAGACACTGCTAAAACTGCTCTCTTGGTTGTCTTTCTCTCGCTTGAATGAATCATAAAAATGTTGTTCGAGCTTGTGGACACGAGAATCGAGTGACGGATAAAAAGAGCATAGCTACACGAAACATGCAGATATTGATATACGTTATATAATCGAGTTATCATCAACTACTTCGTCAACACAATAGTTATATAATACACAATCCGTTATTCTCTCGCCAAGAAGTTTATTTTTCTATAATTAGCTTGACATGTATGGATTCCTCAAAGCCTTTACGTTGTTTAATTTAATATTGGAGGAAGGCCTGTTAGGCCTAGATTGTTACAAATAAATCCATAAAAACTAATTAATGGAGGGCTCAGATTGGTACGTTTTCCCGTGGAAAGTGTCCAAAGGCTGGCCAACTTTGCGGCGGGAAGCTTTCTAATTGCCTAGAAACTGAAAACCACCTCGCAGTCGTACTCGTACCTATGGGAGAGCTTGGGATTTAAGCGGTGACTGAGACCAGCAACTTCAATCGACGCTGCTAAAACCATAAAAAAGATGGAACTTCAATCTGTTTGCCTTGGATTTGGTGTCCCAAAGTTCAGCATTTATTATCATCATCGATTCTCTTATCAACCCGTAAGTAAATCTATCCTGATTTTCGCTCAAGTTTGTTAACTTTTTTAACGTTAAACCTCGCCACCCCATTTATGTTCTTTCATTAATTTTATCAAAGTCGGAAACTCACTCTCATCTCCAATGATCAAAATTTGAAGGCTCCTGTAAGCAACATCCTAAGAAGAAATGGAAATGTCGGGCTTGGAGATGCGTCTGAGTGTACATCTTCTGCCTCTTTTTTCTCGGAGTTTTTAGTGTTTAACGTTTGTCCCTTCTTTGTTAGAACTAAAAGAACCTTCTTTTAATAAAAATAATTCACGGTATTTAAGGTTGTGGAGAGTGAGCAGATGGGGAATAATAGTGTGTGCTTCTGGGTCTGATCAAAACTCATGTTCGAACCATATTGGTACCGAGAGGGAGAAATCTGGTGTGTCTTTTAATACATTTGATGGGGTGGAATCGTTTCATGGTAAATCGGGTTCTATTTCCTTCCATGGGCTATCACATTCTCACCAGCTAGTGGAAAAAAGCACATTGAAGTCGGCTCCTTTACAAGAAGGAAAAGGATCCTTCCTCTGGGTTTTGGGACCTATTGCATTGATTTCTTCATTGATCCTTCCACAGTTTTTCTTTAGCTATGCAATTGAGGCATTTTTCAAGGACGAGACACTCGTTGGTACTCTGACTCATCTTTATCTTTTCCTTACTCCGTTTTTTCATAGCCATGGAGACTAATTTCGTTAGTGGTACTCGGTGTGTGTGTGACATAAAGAACGTATGTAATTGTTTTGCATGGCTATATTGTGCAGAAATTGTGTCCTCATTTTCCTTTGAAGTGCTATTCTATATTGGTCTCGGGGTGTTCTTTCTGGTGACTGATTATGTTCAAAGGCCCTATTTGCAATTCAGTCCCAAGAGGTGGGGTCTCATTACAGGACTCAAGGGTTACCTATCATCCTATCTCGTCGCAACAGGTTTAAAGGTAGTTACTCCTCTTGTTGCAGCCTTTGTAACTTGGCCAGTGCTCGGTTTCCAAGCCCTGGTTGCAGTGGCTCCTTTCCTGGTAGGCTGTGCTGCTCAACATGTATTTGAGACTGTTCTTGATAAGTGTCAGTCATCTTGTTGGCCCCTGGTTCCTATCATTTTTGAGGTATTTGGTCTTTGTAGCATATTAATTTTCGTTCTAAAGACCATATAAGATGACTTACAACTTTGTAACTGATTTTGCAGGTGTATAGATTGTATCAGTTGACCAGAGCTATTCAATTCATTCAGAACTTCATGTCCTCGATGAAAGACTCCCTGAGAACTCCGGAGATGTTCAAGCGAGGCGGTGCAACTGTTGGGATGGTGGTAACTTTCCAAGTCCTAGCTGTGGTTTGCCTTTGGTCGTTGATGACATTTCTCCAACGGCTTTTTCCTTCTAGACCGGTTGCAGAGAACTATTGATGATTGCAGGGTGATATACAATCCATGGTTCTTTCTTGGTTTTTAAATTTGAATCTTCAAATTACACCCATTGGATATCTATGAAGCTCCAGGACCCAAGGCATGTTCATATGTAGTACATAATAGGAGAAATTGAGGGGTATTATTTACTTGTTTCTCGATCTTGTTTGATTTGTTTATCCTTTTATCAGAGTTCAATAAAGTCGCAGCCATTATTCATAACTACTAAATTACATTAGTATGTGTATCTGAACTTATATTGAATCATTCATAAACAAAACTAAAAACCTGCAGAAATTTTACTGAATTTGGAAGTGAGGGTAAAACCAAATGATTTTCATGGTTCTCTTTTTTTGTTTCTTTATAGAATTGAAATCATACAAGAGAAAACTAGAAATTTTCTAGCATTACTCAATTCTATAATCTGCATATTTGGACTTGTAATTATATTGGATAAATGAATCTTACACACAATGTTCTCAGAAGAGATAACTAGTTCATTACTTGCAGAGTATAGAAGCATAAAAAAAATATCTTATTGTATCGAGGCAATTTACTATTCTTTCAGGCTCCTCCAATCTGGTTAATGGTCCTCTACAAAATCAAAAGTCTTTTGATGGATTTCAAGATTGAAAACTTCAGAAAACTCTTTAATCAGGGACTTGTAGGAGATATCAATCAACTCATCATCATCAGAAATCGGTTTAACAGCTTCACTGCATCGTGTAGATGACTGAAATTCTTGAAGCAACCCCCTTATGCTTCCAACTTGGCGATCCTGTAGCCCACATGGAACTATCCAACTGAATGGAGTTAGGTCTGTGGTGACATTAAGTGCCAATCCATGGTATGTTATCCACTTGGATACTCTCACACCAATTGCAGCCAATTTCTGATTTCCTGTAGCAAAATTTTCAAAAGATCAAAGACAATCAAGGAGGCCAAGGTTCTTTTCTAACTAATGAAATTAAATTTGAAAAAAATATTATTTTAATATGGATACAAGTGCTATTGCCAATTTATCATAGACAATGACGAAACCTTCGTATTACCAACTGCTGGTCCAAAGCAGCCAGACAACAAAAAAACTGCATGATCCGAAAATATATATAATTCAAGAACAAATAATCATAATTCAAGAACAAATAATCAAAACGAAAGAAAAAAAAAAGTCATGGGGCCATGCAGTCTGGCAGGGGATGCAAGTTTTGATCCCTTGCCACTTTGAAACATCATCCCACTTTAACAACAAAATATCAATTATCCTATGCTTATTTCCTCAGCCTGCAATGTCGTATAGTATGTTTTCAATTTCAAAGGGAAAGAGCTGTGGAAACATGGCTGACAAACTTAGAATAACAGGCTTGCTTAAACATGCACTAAGTGGAAACAAACCAAGCATCAGTAGAAAAAAAAAATACAAGAAATCTTACCAAACCAAACACCCGTTAAACCCTCAATCCTAGAAGCCTTGATGGAAAATGAGGATTGAAGAACACGAATCACCAATTCCTCAAGTTTCCTAAGATACCAATGAAGATCCATCTTGTGATTCCGGAGATTAATAATAGGATACATAACTAGCTACATTCCAGTATAGGTATTATAAGAAAAAGAGGTTAGTCAAAAGATAAAGCACCCAGAAATCAAATTAATTTCACATTCTTAGTCATGTAGGTTTTGAAACTATACCTGTCCAGGTCCATGGAATGTAACTTCCCCGCCGCGTTCAGTTCGGTAAACATCAAAAGGAGCTTCCTTCATGTCAAAATTCAAAAACTTTTCCGAGCTGCCAGTGCCCATTGTATAAACAGGGTTATGCTGAAGAATGATTAATGAATCTGGGCAATCCTCATGTTCTTGAATCAATGCTTGTTTTTGTTTAACAATTTGTTTCTGCCAAGACCATGCCTTTCCATATGGAATAAGCTCCTTGTGCAAATCAAAACACTCGCACCTACCGAATTTAAGTTAAAAAAAACTTGAGTTTTCGGGGGAGGTGGGAATGAATGGAGTTTTTTGTGAAATTGCCTGAGAAAAAAAACAGAGGAACTTACGGTTTTGGTTTTGTTGGAATTACTGAGTTGAGTTGGTGAGGAGGATCCTTTTGTTGCTTTACGGTTATGCATTTTGTTGGGATTGTTCTGAAACACAGATTTGGTGCAAGAGTCATCATTTATGAATCTCTGTAATCAAGCATGATTGAACAACATTGGTTCCTCTGGGATTTAATGTCAATTTAGCTGGGGATTTCACATGCGGATTTGTGGGCTATTTTGTCTTTTCACTTGATAATAGAGAAGCCCTAACTCCAAAACCCCCCAGCCACTATATATATATAATAATAATACTAAAGAGTCAAAATCACACAATGCAAAGCAATCTTGGGCTTCTTCAATATGTTGCTTCGGCTGCAAATATTTTACTTGTTTTAGGGTTGAGATCGTTAGGCTTGAACTGCGAAAGCAGATTAAAGATTTCATGAATCAGCGGCGATGATGATCTCAAAAACGACCTTTTATTTTCTGAGGCATCTCTCATGATGGAGTTTCAAAGCATTTTTGAACCGCTTTTATCAAGTATTTCAGCAATTGTCTGTTTTTTTTTCTCGGGTCAAGTCGTTTTCGTTTTAATCCCTGATTTTGGTTCTTCATGAACATGAATTGTTCTGGCGATTACAAATTATCTGGGGAGCCTTGATTACATTCATTCTCTGTTATTCATCAACTTCAACTGTTTTTTATGCAACTTTTGCGTTAACAATTTTAAAACAGCTTTGGAGTTTTAGCCTAATGTTCAACATGCATTCATTATTTAAACAGTTGCGACTGACATATTCAGCCCTTCTAATTCGCCTCCTTCATGTTCCGCGATGAAACGATAAACGTCCTGAGGTTTTTGTCTATTCTGGGATTTTGAAAGATTAAAAAAAGATTTTAAAAATTTTCATTCTATTATTCGACGACAAAATAATTTAATTTTTATTTAGGGTAAAGTACACAAATGGTCCTTACGCTAAGAGATATTATTTTATGAAGTCTCACGATTATTAAAAGTTATAAAATAGTTTCTATCTATAGAAAGTTACTTTGTTGAGTCTCTCGATTATTAAAAATTATAAAATAGTCATTTGACAATTCATTATGTTTCAAACTTGTTTTTTTTTATTAAAAATTTGATAATAGTCTGAATATTAATTTGTTGTTTGAGATATGATAAAATTTTATTTCATAATCTCAAACAATTATCATATCTTAGTCTACATTAACATTTAGTTTAGACTGCTATTAATTTTTTAAAAAAAAAAGATAGTTTGAGACATAATGTATAGTCATGTGATCATTTTGTAACTTTTAATAGTCGATGGACTCAACAAATCAACTCTCTATAGTTGGGAGACTGTTTTATAACTTTTAATAGTTATGAGACTCAATAAAACATTATCCTATAGTCGGGATCATTTATGTACTTTATCCTTTTATTTAATAATAAAATAATGGTTTTAAATTTAATGACTAGTTTGAATGGTAGAGATAGGGATGGGCATGGAATCCGAACCCGACTCGATCCGAACGGGTTAATTTTTTATTAAAAAAATCGGGTTCGGGTCGGGTTTGTGTTTAGGGTGAAAAATACCCGACCCAAAAAAAATATAATTTTACTTATATACCCGACCTTATATATTATTTTTTCAATTAAGTCACTTTTTTAATAATAATAATATTGTTTTATTATTTCGGGTCGGGTCGGGTTTTTAAGTTATATATTGGGTCGGGTGAAATCTTATTTCATAAGGGTCAGGTCAGATCTCAGGTGGAGGATTCATTGTTCTTGGGTCGAGTCGGGTGGATAAAAAATCCGACCCATGTCGATCCATAGGTACTACAACAAAACCATATTCCCATATACAATAGGGGGAGGGGGAGGAAGGGTAGTAGGCTGCCCCCAACGTCAAGTCGAGAGCAGCTTTCGTGGAAGACCTCTGGTAGTCAGAAAATTAAAAATAAAGATAAAATGCAATGCATGTATATATAAATAAATAATTACATAGTTGAACAGTCTTCATATGCGCGTCTGTAATGGGAAGTAATCCCTGCAAGTAACTCCTTGCGTAAAAAGTTCTGCATATAAATAGAACGTAAGACTCGACTAAAATTAAAAAGAGGAACCATGAAGAGAATGATACACAGAAGTCAACGAGAGCAAGCAACGTGAAGGAATATAGTCAAATGGGTTAAACCCTAAACTAAGGCAACACTGCTCTGCTACCCTAGTTCTAGCCTTCATAAATTCTAATAACAGAAATGTATAGAAAGTTGAAGCCATGGAAATTACTACAAAGGCATTAAAAGAAGACAGAGATGATACACCCTATGGATGTGACTCGCACTACTCGACTACCCTGGTCTTAAGTCTCTATACTTTCCTATTAGAGGTCATGTCCTCGGTAAGGGCTAAATCCTTCAAATCATATCTCAAGCAGTCTTCCCACTTCCGCCTTGGTCGTCCTCTCCTTCTGGCACCGTCGACTGTAATCGATTCTACCCTCCTGACCGCATCAGACGGTTGTCGCCTAAGGACATGCCCAAACCATCGTAGTTTTCCCTCCCTCAATTTTTCGGATATAGGCACCACCCCAAAGACATCCTAATAACAGAGTTTGGTGTCATGTCCCACAGAGTCCTACTACATGCCCATCGAAGCATTCTCATTTCTGCAGCCTCCATCCTCCTTACGTGATCCTTCTTGATTGCCCAACATTCTAATCCATACAGCAGCGACGGTCTTATTGTCATTCTATAAAATTTTCCCTTAAGTTTTAGAGGCACCTTCTTGTCACACAAAACTCTGGTAGCAGCCCTCCACTTTAGCCAACCCGCCTTTATACGGTGTGTAACGTCATCACCCACACCACCATCTTTATGTATCATAGACCCTAGGTACTTGAAACAATCCTTTGAGGGGAGAACGTGTCCTTCTATGCATACCTCTTCATCTTCAACGTTTTGGTTCTCACTGAATTTTGAACATAAATACTATGTCTTTTCAATATTGATCCTTAGACCTTTTTTCTTCCAAAACAGTCTTCCAGGTAGTCAGTCTACTATTTAGCTCAGTTCTTGTTTCAGCAACTAGGACAATGTCGTCAGCGAA